TCTAATGCTGGGAAAGATGGAAGGCAAGAGAAGTGGATGACCAGCAGCAAGGTGGGAGGACTGTTACAGAGGCGATGAGTGCACCCTTGGGAGACTTGAAAGAACAGGTTAGGGGTAGATTGTCCTGGAGAAAACCTGTGTGGTCTCTAGGAGTCGAAAACAACTTCATGGCACGTAATCAATCAATTTGGTTATTGGTGGTTCAAAGAAAAAAACCCATGAGAGACTCTCCAGAAATGGGATTCCATTGGGTTGGAGATCCACTTCCCATTTGTCCTTTGGCAGTTAGACATTTCAATTGGAAAACATTCTTGATCAGTAAGTTAGTGGTAAGAACTTTTGTTACTATGACATGGAGTACATGAAATCTTGCAAGATTGGGGATACACCAAATTCTCACAACCTTTGCAGCAAGGGTGTGACAATCTTGCAAGATTTGGCAGTCTCCTGAAATCTGAGCTGCCATCTTGTGAACTTATTTTTTAGTTTGACATCTGCAACAGGTTGGGAACCGCTCATTTAGAGGACCCAGAGGACCTACCCGTATGACAATCGAATAAATGGCTGTTTCCAAGTCCCTCTGGTTCTTCAGCTGACAGGTCTCCTCCAAGGATGCCTCATAGTGCTGTGACTCCTCCTCCTCCGTGGCAAGGCTGCGCACTGTCTCCACAGAAGAGACCACCTCACGCACCATCTCCTCTGAGCGTGCCACTGAGTCCTGGATCGCCTTCAGCAAAGACTGGATGGACCACAAAAGAAGCGGCAAAGTGAGTCTTCTGGAGGCTGCCTTGGACCAGCCGTCTGACGGGAGGTGGGAAACCCCAGTGCTTCAGCTCTGGGGGAGACCCCAAAAACACTCCTCTTGGAACGCTCCACTCCGCTCCGTTTTATTTCATTTATTTCTCACTTGTGGCCAACCAGATGCCGGAGTGCAAGCCAGAGAGGGAGATGTATCCTCCCAGTATTATTTCCCAGGAGGGGGTTCATTTACTCTAATGAAAAGTTGGGCTGATCCTCTTGAGTCAAGGAGACCCCATAAGTCTCGGGCATCAGCTGTTTTTCATTTTCTCTCCCTCCAGAATGAGGGAGAACTTTATTACACAAAATGAAGCTTGACCTTTAGAAATAAAAAAATATATAGTCCAGCTCATTTTACAGCCCCATGATCATTTCTCACAAGCTTTGCTCTGTATCTTATTTCTGGATCCCTATAATTCACCTCTCCAAGTCTGTGTGATTCTTGTCCTATGGCTGAATCTTATGCCTCTGGTTCCACCGCTGGCCTGCTGATCGCCCTGTTAATCCTTCCTATTTTGACGCCCATTTTCTCAGAACCATTTCTGTCATCCTGCTAGGATGTCCACCTGCTCCTTCCCCGCATTTCTGGCCGTCTCTGCCTTCAAGCTGGCCTCTTTCTCCTTTTCCCCCAGCTCCTTCTCTGTCTCTCCTTGCAGCTGCCAGTAGGGGGCGCTCTCGCCCTCTTCCTCTTTTCACCTGAGGACGGGGACATGGACACACAAGCGCAACCCCTTCTCTTCGGCTCAGGAAAACGGAGGCCAGGCCACGCAATCAACAACCCACCCTTTTGTACAAGCCACACAGAGGGGTGGGTTTTGAACACGTGGCTGCCAACTCGCCTTTTCTGACCTCTGGAGATGCCACCATGTTCACTGCTACTCAGCTCTCTTGCGGCTTCTTTCTTCTTCCCCTCACCAGCCTGTCTTTCCTTGCCTTGCCCTGGGCTGCCCCATTCCTTCCCTCGGCCAAGTTGGGACTCTTTCCCCAGGTGCAGCTGGTCCCGGCACCCCAGAAGAGGCCGCCCTGCCCTCCAGGCCACCGTCTGCCTCCACAGCCCCTACCTGGTGACGGGTGTTGTAGACCTTCTGGACCGCCATCATGAGGGGGGTCTCGACCAGCATCAGCAGCGTCAGGCGCCAGGACAGGCCGAGCATGAAGCCGTAGAGCCCGATGGCCTGGATCAGGCTGCGCAGGAAGATGTTGGTGTTGACTGGCACCGAGCGGCTCATCAGAGCCGTGTCTCTGGACAGGCGGGAGCCCAGCACCCCTGCGGGCAAAGAGACGTCACACAACAAATGCCACACGAGCAACACAGGAAGAGATTCTCCATACTGTGGGATTACAGGGGACAATCCAAGCTTCCCTCTGGAGTGCTAAAAGGATCCTGTGACAGGGGACAGAAAAATATGGGACCATGGAGACTTGGGAGATCCAATGATATCAAAGAGGATCCTACATATAAAAATATCAGTTAAGGCAACTCTTATATTTAAAGCCACCTTTCCCACCCAAGGTCCAGCCCACACGCCTAGGATTTCCTGGTAGCCTCCCATCCAAGGAACATCTGAGCTTAGTTTTCTGAAGTCAGCCAAGGGCTGCCTTCTCTTGGGCAGGTACAGATTCCCTCCCAGCCAACTTCCGCCAATCTTGAAAAAGCTAGACAAGCTTAGGCCCGGTTAGTGCTTGGGTGGGAGACCACCAGAAGAGCCCAGGGTGGCAGACTGGACCGAGAAAACGGGGGAAAAAGAGCATGCCAAAAGAAAGCCAATGGAAACCACTTCTTTATGGTCAGCAAGAGAACAACATGGTTATGATGCACCCAGGAGCAGGGTGCATCACAAAGGAAAGCCCAACCATGGCATAAGTTCTGCTCAAAAAGCTAGACCTGGTCAGTATGTGGTTGGGAGGCCACAAGGAAATCCCAAGCTGCGGGCAAAGAAGAAACAACAGAAAGCGGCAGTGGCAAAATACTTCCATCACTTCCCCAAGAATATTAGATGAATGGTCTGTGTAGTCACTGGAGTCAGACTTGATTAGAGAATCTTTTTCTTTACACAGTTACAGAAAGAGCAGCTGCCTGTTTGGGGCCTCACCTGCCTTCACCTCCTGGAAGAAGGCCAGGTCCTGCCGCACCAGAGAAGAGAAGAGCAACTTGCGGGTCCGGATGACCATCCGGGAGATGGTGAACATGAAGAGCCCCCCGCGGCAGCTGGCAAATGTGGAGCTAGAAGGGAAAGGGCAGAGGGGTTGGGTCCTGCTCCTCAAATAAAAACTCAGTCACAGCTCCATATGTGAGCATGTACTGGATTTGACGGGGGTGCAAAATATTCACCCAGGACAGATCTATCCCAGCCACGTGAGATTACATTATCTCCGGCTGGTGCTATTCCCCATTTTGAAAAGGCGCAGGAACGCTTTCATTCTGAACTGAGCGCAGCAGCAGAATCCCTGACACAAGTCCCAGCTCTGATGCAGACAAAGCACACTTCCTGTGGGCAACTGCCTGCCCCCAAAGGTGTCGTTATTTAATGGATTAATCCATCAACAGTAGATGCTCCTTGAGAAAGCTTTTTCTTTGAGATTCGTCTCCAAGTGAAAGAGAGGTACAGGCCACAAGCATTAACTGGTTATGTTGCTGCCAGATGGCGAAACAGGGCAGCTAAATGGGATCCTGCAACACCAACCCTGTGCTGGTTGCTCAAGAGGTCTTAAGCCTAATTCATATTGACATTCAGCTGCAACAGTAATGGAGAATACATTAGCCTAGAAAGTCCTGAGGACCCCAATCCTTAAACGCCTGCTTCCTGGAATATCACCCAGCCGTATGTTAAGCTCAGTGGGAGGCCGATGGCTCTGGCCTGCAGTGCGATGACAAGGCGCAAGACCTCCTTAGCGATGGCTCCCAATTCTGGAATTCTTTTCCTTTCATCATTTGAGACAAGCTCATTCACTTGGACATCTACGGGGAAGAAACAGCTCTGGGGCCAAACTACATTCCAAAATAGTAGTACACCTTTAATTCATTATTAATTTCAGACTTTACTGTAAGTTCTTTTATGCAGATTATTTTCTGGTTCTTTGGTGCAGAGCTCTGCACTCCTTAAAGAGCACGATGCAAAGGAACAACAACAGAATAACAGTAATAACTCTCATCATCCCATTCCTGTGAAGGACCAGAAGCGAAGGGACTTTGTGACATGTGCATTTGGGAGCCATAACGCAGCAGTTCAATTCCTCACCCCAGAAAAGGGGAGGAGAGGCTCCATCCTCTGTGACTTCAGGAGAAACCGAGGCCAAGGTTTGCTTCAGGAGGACTCCAGAAAACGAACTGATCTGAAACCTTTCCTGAAGCCTCAACGTCAGGGGGGCGCAGCTTCTTTTAGGCCCCATCTGGCCTTTGACGCGCAGGCCGGGAGGGAAGAGGCAACTTCCTCCAAGCAGGCAGCTCTGGGACCAAGAAATGGGCAAAGCCAAAATCAAAACCACATTTGCAGCAAGGATCTGGCTGAGCCTGATAGATCTCAAAGAGCTAAGCAGCATCGAAGCTGGCTAGCGTCTGGATGGGAGGCCACAAGGAAATCCCACAGCAGAGGTAACCCTGGGAAGTCAAAGAACATCCCCAAAGAAGGCAACGGTCAACGGCTTCCTTAGAGTTGGCAAGAAAAAAATGCCCAGGGTAACCTCATCCAATAATCCTGGGTCTTCCTTGTGTATTTAAGGGCAACTGCAGCAAAGATGCTGGTGGGGCCTGGAATCAACTCACCTTCCAAATGAGACCAGGCAGAGAAGAAAGATGGCTGCGGAAAAGGCTTCCGGGTCACATTTGGTGCCCAGGATGTCAATCAAACGCCCGGTGTAGTAGGGCAGGAGTGTTTCACCTGCAGGGGGGCCAAGAACAGAGGGGGTGATGTCGGACCTCTGTCAGGAAAGGCAGCTCAGCCCCCCACCCTCCACCCCGGCTGCATATTTTCTCTGAACAGCCTTTCTGTGAAATGCAAAGAAGCCTTGAAGTTTGCTCCGGTTTTCCCACCCCACGAGAGCCAGCTATGGAAAGAATGGGGCAGCCCCTCAGGATGGGAGAAAAAACAGAGATAAGGAAAAGATGCTTGAGTTGGACACCAAAAGAGTTGAATGGGGGAGTCTGGAAGATCCAGGGCCTGTCTGTGTCTCTTTTCATCCTGGGACGCAAGACACACCCCGGTGAGAGGGAGCTCAGCGCAAATGGCCGAAGCCTCCCAGAATTCCACATTTTACGTGGGCAGGAGGCAGCCCAGAAGGGCATCAGATGGATTCGGGAGGACGTCAAAAGGCACAGCAGGATTTCAAAGGCTGAGACTGGGTCTGCTAAAGACTTTTTGGTGGCCATCTCACAACTGGGTTACTTTTAGTTTTCTTCAGTGTGTGGTGTGAACCTGGCCCTCTTGACTATTTCTGGTTCAGTGTATTGTGCAACACGGAGAACGGCTCATCTCAGCACCAACTCACCAGTCACCGCCAGGACAAGGAACAAGAAAGCGCCACCGAGATACGGCCTGTCTGGACGGAGAAGCCTCAACGTCTTCCAAAGGGTGGCCTTGTCTTCTCCCAGGGACTCCTCTGTGCTTCGCCTTTCTGCCAGGACCCCCCAGAGGAGGTGGGAGAAACCCACCGCCCCGTAGCTCACCAGCCACCAGGACCAAGGGGCCGAAGAGAGCAGGAGGGGAGGGTCTCCAAGCCAGCGTCCCACCCACAGGTACAAAGGGGGCAGGATGCTGACAGCAGCCACAGTGGAAGAGGGCATCGGGGAGGGCCGACCCACGGTGAGCAGGCCCCTGACCCCCCAGAGGACCAGCAGGCGCAGAGCGGCCTCCAGCCAAGCTGCTGGGACCCCCAGGGCGGCCAGGGAGGGGTGCCATCCATCCAGCGAGGAGAGCAGGATTCGGTCGCAGAGAAGCAGGGGGGCAGCCTGGAGCACGGCAGGGACCAGCATCTTGCTGATGGGCTCTGGGGAGAGAGGAGGGGGAGAACTGCTGAAGCCAAACACACCCCTTTGGCCCCCTAATTTCAAGCAAACTGCCTCCCCATATATCTGATTTCATCTCCCGCCTCCAGGGAGCTGCTCCCGGCAACCGTTTTTCCCTTCCTGCATCATAGCCCGTTTCCCACCAACTATTTATGGGGCCTTTGATCATTTATTCAAAACAGCTTATTTGATGTTGGGTCTATACCAACATTTTGAAGTAATGCAAAACTAAGAATAAAAAGTATTAAAATATAACCAAAAATAAAAATATATACAGTAGAAAGGTTGCGGAAAGAAGAAAAACGGATGTGATTGGATACATCCTTGTTAAGAACACCATCTAGTCTTGAATATAAAGTAACATCTCCTTCCTGGAGACATTCCTGGCCCCACTTCAGAAGTTACTTTCCCTTACCAGCTTCTGGGATGTTCTTTTGACTTCCCAGTTCCACTTCCAACTCTGGGATTACCTGGTGGTCTCCCATCCAGGCCCGACAAGGTTGGCCAGGTGCTTTGAAGCACCTCCTAAGATACTGTGTCTAATCAGCTGACTTCCCCACACCGCCGTAGCTGCAGCCCAAAGGTATATTTTCTGAGTGCTGCGAGTCTCGTGGCAAGTTTGGGAAAGATCAAATTCACACTCACTTTGGCTTCTTTTGTTCCTCGACACTTTCGCGCCTTTTTTACCCTGCAAAGCACTTTCCCGTCCCAGGGGCACCCAGCGCTGCTCCTGAAGGCTGGCATCTTTAGGGCCTTCCTTGGGAAGAAACCCCAGAACTGTGGCAGAAGCGTTTGGAAACCCAGATCGGTTCCTGAGGTTAGTAAGGATTTGCATCCGGCGCCCATTCTCTGGAGCGGAGCCACGAGGCGAAGAAAAACCGAAGCGTTTAGGTCCTCCGTAAGGCAGGAAGTTTTTGGGAGGGCGGGAGATCGGAGATCAGTACCCCAGTGACTTAAAGAGGCGGTGGACCACACTCCCCTCATCAGCGGCCAACGTGAGCAGCCGTGCTGGATGGGAATGACGGGGAGCGGAGTCCCTCGCACCTCCGGAGCAGCTCTGTCTTCCCGATCAATGCAGCCCTTCGTCCCTTCTCGAGCCCCTCACCTTCCTGTAGCGGCCGGGAAAGTCCTTCCATCGCGAGCGTTTTTCTGGATCTCGATGTCCCGTTCCGGCCGGACTGGGCTCCTCTCTCCCCCAACTACCGCTGCACCCACCGCCGCCCTCTCCGCAGAGAGCCGAATATGCCCAGCGCGGCGCTTTCGCTTTCGCTTTCCGGGGGAACGCCCCTTTCCGCCCCGCCTCCTCCTCCTCCTCCTCCTCCTCCCTCCTCCACGCTGACCGCCAGAGGGCGCCCGCGTTCCGCTTTGCCGGTCGCGGCTGTCGAACCGAGTAGCAACTGATTACCCTTTTTTTCATCGGACAGTAGCTGAACAGTAAGTTCGCTTCCCGCTCGCGATCGTTGAATCGGAGCTTGTTGGAGAAGGCACAGCTGGGTTTTCTTTACGCATCGTCTTAAACTCTGGCTGTGGCTGATTCATGCATCACGCTAATCACCTTAACCAGGATTTGCTGAAGAAAGGTGTGCTTTTTTCACAGCAACTTGCTGTGCTTCCACACCCACTTGGACAGCCACGCATGCTCTGGTCACGTCACGGTGAACTACTGCAGTGCACTCTGCCTGGGGCTGTGTTGCATTATAACACCCCATCACATGCTAGGCATTTCTGTTAGTGCAGACTAGTAAAATCAGTTGTATGCTAACAAGGAAG